CACTGCTCTTCATCTGTTGTAAGACTTTGTGCATGGCCATAACAAAACGTTATTAGAATCAAAAAGGACACGCCCAGCCCGAGCTGCTCAGCATCTATTTATTATACACCTTCTCTTGAATAGTGAGCAAGTGTCTAATTCTAACAAATGGTAATAGAATTGAATTGGCACACTTGCTGATTAATTTATTGTTGCCTTCCAAAGACTCGCATCACAGTTAAAGGTTTCCTTTCGATATTTCTATTTCATTACATTAGAAAACGCCCAAGCTGGCTCTTCGTCAGGTTCAGAAATTTGATTCATTTTAGGAAAGAGAGTGTATAACAGCGAGTGTATAACAGCGAGTGTATAACAGTGGCGTAAACCCTTGGGAGGCTGTCGACAGTTTTTTGGACTGTGTATGTTTTACACAAGGAATCATATTCTTCGGCTTACCAATTTAGTAAAGCACACTGGTGTAGCAAAACATGACATATACCATGATTATGGCAGGCAAATGATTAATTGCTGTTATTAAAAAGTGAGCTAGTACCTTTAGATCGGGTCTTTGACGCACCACCTCCTTAAGTACTCCCATTAGGATATCTGTGGCCAGAGTTCGCTCGTGGGCCTCGTCCAGAATGATGACACCATATCTCTCCAGCAACGGGTCATTCATAGCCTCTCTTAGTAACATACCATCTGTCATGTATCTAAAGAAATTACACACGTGCTTTGTTAGATTGAGACGTTCTGGATCAAAACAATAAGACTGGTAGCTCTGTGCCTACAAAAGACCTCAATCCCTTACTTGAGTATAGTCTTAGCAGAGCTGCAGTCCTCAAATCGAATGGAGTAGCCGACTTCCTGTCCAAGCATGATGTCCATTTCGTCCGCCACCCTTTGAGCCACGCTCATAGCAGCCACTCTCCTGGGCTGAGTACAGGCTACCGCCCGCTTAGGCCCAGGCAAGCCCCTCACCATGTCCACACACCACTGTGGGATCTAAAGATTGAAAAGTTGCAATAAATTCAAAAAGAAATAATTTGAGAGGAAATCACATGTTTAAACAACACAGTGCCATCATACTGGTTATGCTGGGGCTTTAAAAGTCATTCAACATGCACAAAAGGTACTGGCTGATTTGTTGCATGTCAGACCTGTGTTGTCTTCCCGGAACCAGTTTCTCCAACAAGGACAAAGCTCTGATGACGTGTGATGATATCGCTGAATCTTTCCTTGTACTCCCACACTGGAAGCTGTAACCTTTTCTTCAGGATCTCGTAGAAGCGCGGTGTGTGCGGCAGGTTGGTGAATGGGTTGACCTGCTGTTGCATAGCCAGCTGCTTGATGGGTGCTAAGCATGGCACGGAGGCCGTGCTGTTAGACGGGACACTAGAGGGCTTTGGGTCTCTGTCCCGGTCTCTGTCCCTATCTCGATCCCTGTCCCTGGAGCGGTCCTCACGGTCTCTGTCACGGTCCCGGTCTCTCCTGAAAACATCGGAGCAGGGCATAATAATAAATACTCCAATGTAAATCAATATGAAGCTACCTTGTGAATTCCTGCCTATACTGCTGTCAAAGGGACAAGTATTAATTCAGCCCAGTTCACATGACATGAGCTGAACAGCAGAGATGGGAAACGTTTAACTCTGATGTTTAAAGTTGTTTGTTGCAACACAACGCCAATAGTATCATAGACCCTTCACAATAAAGAGAAAACTGAAAGAAAGTATCTTTGAAGCAGTTTCCAATAAAGTTGAAGAGTATAACCTTCACATAAACGTAGGTGTAACGTTACAGTACGTGAGTGAAATTAGTAAATGAGTGACTTGGCGTAGCTACCGTTAATAATATAGTTCTCCGTAAGAAGAGACCACAAAGTTTTGGTTAGCAAGCATGCTAGCGCGTAAGAATACGGTTTGTTGGGAGGTCTCAAGGTGATCATTTCTTACAGTAGATTGCTATTACAACAACCAAATGACATTATTTTCATTTGTAGCTTAAGGTTAGGCAGCTAACGTTAAGCCAAATTAAGCTAGCTAGCTAAGGTTGTGGGCAACTCGCTAAGTGAGCACTTTAGCCACACACACACGTGCCTCAATGGTGATGGTAACGTTTGATGGCTAGCGCCGTCCTCATTAGCTAACCTACATGAAGGTATTAAGCATTGCAGCAAGACGCAATTAATTCATAACCCTGTCTCTGAAGAACAGTCAGGCACCATTGAGCAGTGGCACAAAAAACAGAGCTAAAAAAATGAACAGCTGTGATTATATGTTAACGGTTCTCATTATAAATCAATGGGGGCTATTAGCCAAGTCAACTAGCATCGGCTAATAGTTACTAGTACCTAACTGGTTAAAGCGGACATTAACTGCGGAGCTTCACGTACCCTTCAGACCTCTTCTTAGTGGAGGAGTGGTCATCACCCAAATCCAGGCGATGTCTTTTGGACATCTTCGGGAAATAATTTGTTTATTTTATATATATTAACGTTGATACAATTCTACCGGGCAAATGGTAGGTAGCTACCCAGGAGATAACTTCTTCTTCTTCTTCTTCTTCTTCTTTGGGCTTTAATGGCAGTTGCATCCTCAACGTTGCACTACCGCCATCTTCTGGAGCTCCTACAGTGTCCGGGATGTTCTATTTTTCTGATCAGTCCCGTTCTCCTCAAGAAGCTGACCAAGCATCTTCTACCCACTTCCGCAACACTCCAATATGATCTGATCTGCTCCTGTTTTCCCCAATCTTTAAATTTTGACAACAAAAACCGGTTGGATGCTTCCCTTTAATGTGAAGTGTTCTGTTCCGATAACTGTGCCCTATTCTTCACCTAGTAATGTCTCCTGTTTTCTAATTTCCTCCCCTACTTCTCACAATACCATCTCTATTTTGAATTTAATGTAAATGTCTTCCTCTTGTCCCAGATCCCAATGCTCCTGCCACTCTTTATTGCTTTCCTTCTGATTTTGAAAGATTAATGTGTGTATCTATATTTCCTTTTTCAACAGCTTGTTTGGCTAATTTGTTTATTCTTTAATTTCCCAGAATGCCTGTATGAGCAGGAACCCATTAATACAACCTCACCACCTTGTTTCCTTATTCCCTTATTCTTGCGTGAATTAACATTATTTCATCGGTTGAATCCTGACGATTACAAACCGTACCTGACATGAGACTGTACAGAGCAGAAACTAAATCACTACAGATTAAGACTTTGTTTGGTTTATTTTGTTTTACCCATTCTAAAGCCATTGGGATGGCGTACAGCTCAAGAGTAAATACACTAAGGCAATTTGAGGTCCGTCTACCTCACCTCTATAGGAACTGTGACTGCAGAACCTGTGTGGCCTGTTGTTGGATCCTTCGATCTATCTGAAAAAACCTGCAGATAGTCTTTGTATTTATTCCTCATATCCATAAAACTCACTCACCAGATCTGCACCTTTATTTTTTTCATTAATTTGAAGCAGTTTTTAAATCTACCACCAGAGTTTCTAACATGCACACAGGAATTAAAAGGCCATATTACAGTTGAGCAGAACTCCTTTTCGTGCACTCCCAGGTCTCTTGTTGCTGCATCTCCTGACCAGCCAAATGTAATTGTTGTGCTCTCTCCCTTTTCCAGCTGGCCTGTACTCTTTTGGTCGGATGACTATCTTCATGCCCCCTCAGATTTATCCAGTATGCCATCAGCTGTTTCCACAGTGGTAACAGCTGATGGCATACTGCTTCAACTTGAAGTGCACACACTGGCGATGTTCTCATTGCTCCTAAACACACTCTCAAAGCCCAAGCCTGAATTACATCCAGCCCTGCAAGCACAGATTTAGCTGCTGATCCACATACCACAATCCCATAGTCTGGCCTTGATCTGATTAGAGTTACATATATTGTAATGGCAAAATATATTGAACTTTGTGTGTTCGTGTTGTGAACCCGAAACTTACCTGTGATTAAAACTATGCAGTAATGAGGAACTTGCAGGTGAAAGTCTCATCTTACCTTGAAACCGTAACTGGTTCCCAGTTGAACGCATCTAGCAGAAACTAGATAATGAGCAGATCAAGACAGCCTGTGTCAAAAGACCTGGACTCCCCTATGTATGATTTATCTAGGAGCGGGCCTCTGTATGCATAAAATGATGTGGTGTCTGATACTTAGTCGAAGCTTTGCTGAGCTGTGGTATTCTCTTCCCTCTTGCAAGAGAATAAACGGACAAAGACAAACTTGAATCTTGTTAAGACTTTATTATTGATTTGTGAACAAAAACTCTCTTCTCCTGATTAACCTAGAAATATTCCACAGCAATATGTATTTCAGTGATGCAGTATCAGCTCCCCATCCCTCTCCTGTAAGACATCTCAAAACATTTATCACTTTTTTACATTCATCCTCCACATTTCTATAGGCTCTCTCCATGTTAATCTCGGGTCAAATACACTCCCAAAAGACTTTCAACTCTCTCCCGGTCACTTCCATGTAATTTCAGATTATTGCCTTCCTGAGTTTCCTTCTGGTAAAGAGCATAATTTTTGTCTTCTCCACTGAAAATGTAAATCCCTCCCCCCATTTCAACTTTACGCACCTCTTTTCTTTTAATGTTCCACATTTCTCTCTCTTTTCCCCATATCCATTGGCATATTTTCAAATATATCATTTATCATCACAGAGAATAAAGTGGGATTTATAGCCAGGAGCTAACTTGGTTTTGGGTTCCTGTTTTATTCTTTTCAAATATATTTTACAGCAACTGTGCAGATGACATTACCACTGCCTGCTGGCTTTATGTTCCTCAAATGGTTTGTGATGAGTTAATTAAAAACGCGCAAAATCCATTGACATGAATTGTTTTTTTTAACTAAAATGTTCTCACGTTCCCTAAAGGTTATTTGACGTATTTTTCCCCCTTCTTACTGCGAATCCATACAACAATTTGGTTATTACAGCATTACCAATTCACCATACTTTTAGGATCTTAGATGTGTTGTGTTGCTTAAGGAGGAGGAGTTTCTGTCCCATGAGCAGCTGTCCTTTACTGCGTGATTACTGCATGTCTACATAAACGGGCCTGAAGAAAACATGCGCAGCTGCAGGTCTGGAGAAAACAATGTGTCAACACATGCATGCGTTTTAAATAACGAAAAACATCTGAAGCAACCTTCGCTCCACCCTCAGCAAACAACGCCTATTGACACGGTTATGCAAGACTTTTCTGAAATTTTGCGTCTTTTCTCGTCAGACGACCAACAGTATACGGCTTATCAACAGTTATCAACTTATCTAAAGTTGTAATTACTGCAGCGGTTTGTTTACGCTCACCATGCATCTAATCGGGTAAGTGTACTTTCCTCATATAGCCCGAGGTATCTGCGTTTGGATCGTTTAATTAACTTCATCTGCAGAGTAAAATACTGCGACATATAAATGTTTTTTTAGGAACTGGAGCTTATCATTTGTGCTAATGCTTTTAGGCTTATTGAGGGAAATATCGTCCAGCAGAAGCCCTTGATTATGAAAAATCATTTAAAAAGTTTGATTGACAAAAGAAATCAACCAAGACCAAAAGGACCGATAAGTTGACGAGTCGACTAAAAGGGGGCGCTGCAGTTAATATTAAGATCTTCAGAATCTCTATAGTTTAAACAACTCTACTAGAAAGTAGCTCAAATGAGTTCCACCATCCATCAGTAATGTTAAAATACTTCTTAAATCTTCATGAAATATTTATATATATGTATGTATGTAT